TCACTCTGAACAGGTAACGTTCTTTATTGTATGCATTGGAAATCGTTCTACGATGCAAATCATTACGAAGCCAAAACAGACGAGAACGCCACGTCTTTTTGCCAAATTCACATACACGACCTTTATGGTTGAACTAGTATATAGTTCAACCATGCACAAGCTTCCACTCCTTAGAACGACATTTCTAGAACTGGATGGACCGCCTCAAAAACGAAAATCGTTCCGGAAATATGAACAAAAACTGCCTTAATCTCCATGTAGACTTAAAAAGACATCTAAAAATGAAACGATTGATCTCAGTGTTCTCCTGGGGAGCGGGAGTGTTTTTCCTTTGCTGTCAACCTCAGTGACAAATAATAGGGTCTCATACTCGTGGAAGAACTTCAGTTATTTGTTGTCATTGATATATTCACTGAGAATATTTATGGATCTCCTTTGAAGATCATGAGCGTCAGCTGCTCGATCAGATGTAGATATCATTGTCGCCAATAACAGATGCCTCTGCACCCGCACAACCATCCGCGGTTGCTCCGACAGCATTCAGTGGCTTCTGCCAACGAAAAATTTTGAACTTTTACCCGTTTAATCGCGGACACGGACGCCGGCCGTAAATACAGAGGGCAGTTTTAATTAGCGAGATCGTTGCCTGGGATTTGCTACATAGTCCCATGATAATAACATCGGGTGCATCCCATATCATCGGATACATTTCATGGAAATGTTCTCCATTACGTGCAAATATGATAGATATTAACAACACGCAGTATTCCTTATTGATGAAAAAGGTAAATTTTGCTGAGTACATTTTTGGCAACTGACGCCTAGACTGTAAAACCTTTGTGGCGATTTGGTGTATTAAAGAAATTATCAACTGATTTGAATAGACGCTTACTAAACCGAAACAAGTCTATGCAACATCTAAATGACTTGAGCTCTCATCGTTTATCTTTATTCACCTCCAGTGTCATATTTTCAAAGGATTTGATGATTCCTCGCGGCAATTCTTTATTCATATTAAAAGTTTGAATTCGAAATTTTTAATAATTCCTGCTATAGTTAATTTATATTCTATACAGATACCGAGTACAATAACAGCTGACGTTTAACAGGGCTTTCACTTGCAATGCTCGTGATTATCGTGAAAACAAAAAATAAAAAAAAATTGAGGGCCTCATCAAAGAATTTTGATCGTGTATATAACTATTTATGTTCCAAATTTAATTTTGTTCAGCGGTTAATTTTTTGTTCAACGGTTCCATGCACCGTTGAACGATTTCCAACTTGGTTCTCTTTATTAGCGTTAAAAGCAAGGGAAAATATTTTCGTCAGAAGCTCTATATTAACGGACGAAATCATCTCCCCAGAGCCCAGGTAACTGCAGTTGATCTCATGTCTGACCAGCGCGTCTTTGCAGAAATTGCGTCCGGAGAAATGAGACAAACTTGGACGAGAATTGGTGTCTTCTGGCGAATTTACGGCTCCTTGAGCTTGCCCAATAATAAGTCGTATATGTCACGAGAATCTTGTAAAGTTCGGCCTCATATGGCCTTGAGGATGGTCGTAATAGTTGTGCGAAAGTGTGATGTTGAAACGTTGATGAGGGAGAATATTAAAATTTTTAATATGATTTTATGTTTAATTATAAATGATCTCATTCCACTCTTACACTTATTAATACTATGGGTTGTTCGAGTAAAAAACTAATAGTTTCTGTCTTTTATGACCTTCAGGATGGTCGTAATAGTTGTGCGATAGTGTGATGTTGAAACGTTGATAAGGGAGAACATTACAATTTTAATATGATTTTATGTTTAATTATAAATGATCTCATTCCACTCTTACACATATTAATACTTCGGGTTGTTCGAGTAAAAAAAACTATTTGTTTCGACCGGCAGGAGCTTTACCACGGTCTATAAAGCTCTTTATAGAAAGTATACATATATCAGTAAAGCGCGTGGTCTAGGTAAATTGCAAATTCTTATCAAGTTAATGCAGGTTGCAGACTATTTCTCTTCTAATGATCCCCGCTCGGGTCTCTAAACATTTACATTATAACTACCGAACAATCACAATATATGCGCAGAACTCCATAGAAATCTAAATCCCTCTTCTAAAAACAACTTGACAATTATGAATAGAAAATCTTGCCACTTTTCATAAAATCTTGCCATAAATCTTTCATAATCTTGAAACTTTTTCATGAAAATCCTAAAAATTATGACTTGAACAATTTTCTATAAGTGAATTATGTTAACGATTATCTACCGTAATAACATTACATTGTTATTGTACCTGTGTGGAGAATATTGTGTCTGTGGCTTCGATAAAATTTGTCGCATCCCTTCTGGCTTTCGTGGCTGCGGTAATTTCCTTTGGGCCCAACTCCTAAGTCCCGGGACATCGCTTACGCTAATGCGACTTTCATTTTCTCGTACTGGTCGAGGACTTTCATTTCCAAACAAAATAGTGAAGATTAGAGACTCTGTCTATGCTAAATATTCGTGATTGCATTGATCATATTTGTCTTGTCGCTAATTTAGCCTTTAAGAGGAAAAAAATTTGCTAAGAATACAACAATTCTTTTATCTTTTGACGCCTGTTGCATCTAATAATAAGTACCATAATGTTAATTTTCTTCTACTGTAGCAGGCTATAGAATTATATTAACGAGATGTTAAATTGTCTTGCTCAAATATTGTTATTTAGTTCCGTTGCTGTTTTGTTGTGTTTGGGAATGGGGGAATGAACCCACATTGCTGGAGCTTGATTCAATAAAAGCCAACGTTCTCGACAAATGCAAATGATTATTAACGCTTTAAATATTCCACTCACAATGCTAAGAGTGCCAGCACGCAGCGAGGAAACTAAACACTGTGTAGCTGTAATAAAATCTTGCTCATACAGTTTTAATTAAAACTTATATTGAAATTGAATGAAATAGAGCGAGTTTTAAATAGCATGGTCCCACATCTTTATGAGAAATTACCCAGCTATCAGTCAAGTAATATATGCCCGTTGCAGTCGTTCTCATTAACCATATTTAATAATTTGGATCTAAGATCTTTTTAGATCGTAAGAATTTTTCGGATTAAATAGTATATTGGGTCTTGAAGATATGCCGTGCTGTAACAATAGTCATAAAACACACGTCGGGAGAAACTCGGAGACAATGTAAATGAATCTTTCATTCACCCGTTTTTACAAGAGATATTAAGATAAATTTTATCGACAAGAATTTGACAATAAGGTTTAGTCTAAAATACATAAAAAGTCCCCATGAATTCTGGTCGAAGAACTGGTGCAAAATTTCACTTCATAAATTTCAATTCGCTGGCCATCATTTAAGGAATAAAATTTAGGGTGAGATATCGATCTTAGCCTTTTAATTTGACAATTCAAAGACAAGTTATACGAGACTTATCGGAAGAGATTATAATAAATGGTAGAATTTCAAACGCCGCTAATTGAAAAAAATTCTTGTCTCTGATTTTCAAGAATAAAATCATTGTTAATTCGTTTTTTCGCACCGAAACTACGAGGACGTGCGCTACTTGACCAGAATAATAAACACCAAGACTTGGTTCTCTCTAGTGGAAATGTCACGAAGTGGTTAGTAGTTTTTCTCTCCGTCATTGCTATCCAAGGACTAATTCATGCCACGTAACCTCGAGTTGAGGCCAACTCACGAGGAACCGCTTTATGACCGTTGGTGACTCCACTCTTTGTCACTAAATCCATGGGATGAACTCCACCTTTGCCCCAGACTAAAAAAATTGAAATAGCTTTTCTCTTCTGAAATTGGGTTAATCGTATACGTATATTGATTACCATCAGTAAACATTATAATCTCTTGCAGGTCCCACTCTTCTTAAAAACTTGAGAAACTTACTTTACAAATGTAATAAAATATGCAAGTTCTCCCACATCGTAACCACATGGAACGATCAAGTCAAGACTTTCATGGCATCGCCCTTTTGCCATGTTTTCAGTGTGTGGGAAGATATTTCCGTATATTTAAGCAAAAATAGATAAATACATTCTAATTGTTTTTATTCCACAAAACCAACACTCTTAATATCTCAGTTTACTCGAATTGCAATGATCTTAACATGATGAGAACTAAAAAAGTTTCGAACGGATGAAAGGCTGTGATGGACGTCAAAACCAACAGTCAATAGTATACGTTTCGGACGTAGCAGTCCCAGCCAGGGCCACGATAGATCACCGCCTCTGACTATCGCGCATCCATTTGGGCTAGTTCTAGTTGAACCACGATGCTGTTGCCTGCTTCTCGCCGCTGGTAGTGGTGCAGGGGCGGTCGATCAGAGATTGCGCCCAGAAACACGCCCAGTATTTCTTGAAGGTCTCCAGGGTGAACTCTTTCCCGCTAATAGATCTTTTGGTAGGACGTTAAACAGCCTCGGCCCTGCCACGGAAAGAGATTCTTCCCGCAGAGATTGAAATCTTGCCGCAGATACGTTACGTAGAGGGGGAATCCAGCACAGCCTCCCCCCTTCTCTCGTTATGGTATGTTTCAATACTGAAGGTCTCTCTTTCGAAATTTGAGGCCATTTCAGTGATCATTCTCCGTGTGCACAGAATGACATACCTCTCCCGTCCCCTCTGCAGTGAGTACAGGCCCAGGCACAAGAACCTCTCCCAATAGTTCAACTTCTCAATCCCTCTGATTCTGGATGTGAAGGTTTGCTGGACCCCTTCCAGTTGCCGCACTGCGCCGAGTGTGAACGGGGTTCAGAGCTGGCAGCAATATTCAAGAAGAGAAAATGGGGAAACATTCTTCGGAGGTTCCGAACGATATATGGTATAGTTTTTGCGATAACACTCGAATGATACCAAGACATTAGACCTTAGGATACCATCAAATCTGAACTTTCCATCAGAGCAGTCACAGTTTCGACAACTTACGCTTGAATTAAAAGCGGATGTGTATAAAATATTCTGCCAACCTATTCGAAGGATAGAATAAAAATAAATTATTGCCATCTTGTATACTTTCCGTCATTTGCAATCTCAGCAACATTAGGTTGCATCACCTTTCCTTACTAACCATCTTTTTTTTATGGAGAAAGTTCCGATTTCCAGTCAAACATCTATCAGACTGGCCTATCATTAAGATTGATGATCAGGATTGAACCATCTGGTTTTTACCACCACCAAAGTTTATTATTTTTCTAAATTGAGAACCTGACAAGAGAAACAAACTGAATCCGTGCGTTAAACATGGAAATAGGAGCGACTTGAAGAATGATCGGCGGAACTATTTGGAATCTAATGTTAATACGGAGGGAGGATAAATCGTTTCCTTTCCCGTAAGGAAAGTTATTTGCTAATTTGAAAAATGAGACTAGAAAGAACAAAGTCTGAATTGTTTGGAAATTAATACACAGTGATGAGTCTAAGATTGCTTCTGAATAAAAAAAGAAAGGACAAACAAGGCTAGTACGCAACTATAGAAAACAGTGAACCAAAAAAGGAATTTAACAAGACCGCTGACATTTGAGGAGCAAATAAGAATAAATCTCACAATTAATTGTGCGGAATTTGATTTTCCCGGAGTTCATTGCCTGATGCATACACAGATGAAGCACTGCAAGAGGAAAACGAGTGCTTGAGCAGCAGTAGTGAACTAAGCATTTTTCCCACCGTCTGAGCCACAGCCGAAGAACTTTTCAATTTCTTCATCAGAAACTTTCCTCTTCTTGTACTTCATACACATTTTATAGTCTTCATTTAGGTCTTCGTTCTCCTGATTTTCATAACCACCACTTTTCTTGCTTTTGTTTTTTTGCTTCTTTTCCTTAGCTTCCTTCTTCTTGGACCAGGGGATGGTTGTTCGTTCCGGCTTCTTCTTGGCAATCTTTTTCGTAGGCCACTTTCCAGTTTCCTTGCAGGTTTTTAATTTTGCTTGCCGACTTTTTTCTCGTTCTTTATTCTTGTACGGAATATCATTGAAGTCAATTTGATAGGGGCTGAAATCCTCGGCACTATGGTACTTCAGTTCAGGCATCTTAGGCATTCTTATAAGCCCATAACCCATAGCCAGCAAGCCAAGGTTTATATTCTTCAGTTTGAAGAGAACATTGCATTGATGATTGATATAGAACTTTACGAAAGATACGAAAGCTTGAGCACCCTTTTCCATTAAGGCTCGGTCTTTCAGTTGAATTTTCCTCATTTTCAAAAGTATATCTGGTAGAGGCTTTGGTTTATTTATTTCCTCAAGTTCAACATTCTGGTTGAGCTGTATGAACTTGACGTACCCCTCTTCCTCAGGCAAGAGCATGAGAAGTGTTGAGCCCGAGAGGCCACAGCGCGCCGTTCGTCCGCAACGATGCACGTAAGACTGGGCGCAGGAGGGCGGGTCGAACTGGATCACCCAATCAACGCTGGGGATATCCACGCCTCGTTCCATGAGGTCTGTGCAAATCAGAACACCCGACTTGAGCTTTTTAAACTGTTCGAAAACTTTCTCCCTCCTGCTTTTCATTTTGCGGTGTGTGGATAAAAACTTCATTTTGGGAAGAAGACCCGTCAAAATGGCTTTGAAGTAATCAACAGCCGCACACGACGCAAAAAATACCATCACTTTTTTGTTTTTCATTTCTTTCAGTAGAGCAACTAGAATCGACATTTTTTTGTCCGGTTCACACAACATGTAATAATTGCTCAGGGTTGAGGGAGTTGCTGTGGAAGATTGCATCACCCCAATCCGACAAGGATTTCTAAGGCCAGCCCTAATCAGTTTGACCTTGTCTGAAGTTTGAGTAGCAGAAAACAGCCCAGTTCTTCTCTGTTTGGGAAGGTATGCAAGTATTGTGCTGATTGTTTCGGTAAAGCCAACTTCAAAGAGTTTATCAGCTTCGTCTAATATTAAGATTTCCAACGCCCTGCAAGCAAGTCTCAAGCTCGTGCCACCAGATTCACATCTGTTGAAGATATCCTCAATTCTTCCAGGCGTGCCGACGATGATGTGACCGCCATTACTTTCAAACTTTGCAACGTCTTCAGACACGGCTCCTCCACCTACGAGTAACAGTGACGACACTTTTTTGCAGTGTTTCAGCAAAACCTGAAGAACACCGTGGATCTGCGAGGCCAACTCTCGCGATGGTGACAAAATCATAGCATAAACCTCATACTTTTTGATGGGGTATTCTCTTCGAAGTATCATTTGAAGAGTCGGTATCAAAAACGCTAGAGTTTTACCACTACCTGTGACAGCCTCGGCAACCACGTCATAGTGGGACAACATATTAGGGACACAAGCAGCCTGTACGGCCGTCATCTTGGGAAAATTAAACTCCTTGACGCCGGCGGCTACGGCGGGATGTAGAAGAGGGAACAGGCACTCCCATGACTCATCCATGACTCAGTTGAGATGAGCACAATCCTGGAAGAAAATAAGACGGATAAGAGATCGAATAAAACCTTTTTACCATCATTTATTTATTACCTGAGGATCATATCTAATTTTCCTTATATCTTGTTCAAAAATAGTTATTACTCGCTCAATATGACGTTTTGGAGAAATTTTGGTAAACTCGTATGTAAACAGAAGTGAATGCCACAAACCACTTGCTTGATCAGAATGTTTCCTTATAAGAAATTTCAGATAACATCTTAGTTGAAATCAGGGCCTATGGAAATTTTATGGACTAAAATATTTTGTAATTGGACACAAAAAAATTAAACACTAAAATCAATCAATTTGGGCAGTTCTACTAGAAGAAAATAAATAAACAATTTCATAAAATTTTTCATACATTTTAAATAGCCACAATGGAAAAAATTGGGAGAAGAAATTAAAAATCGAAATGTGAATAATACATCAATTGAATATCAAACCAGCTTAGTAATAGTTTAGAATATTTGTCCTAATATGAAATCATTAATGAATCGACAATCGACATGGATTTATGTAAAAAAATTAAAACCAAAACATTGGGTTAAATGCAGGAGTGATTATTTAGGAGAATTAATTTCAGTATCAAATGCCAGAACTTGAATCAATGAAGCAGAATCTGGACACAGGCAAACAAAGTAGTTAGATACAAAAACACCCATTCCAAACATGTTTGTACCTAATCCTATACATTAAAAATAATTAGTAAATCAGCTGCTGTAGGTACAGTATGCAGAATAGATCAAAGGTGTTGTAACAGGAGTTCTTTAATTATTGCTCCAGCAGTGTAAAGCTAATATTTTGAAACTGCATATTAACTGAATGTGAAACTCATTCATTACAAAATACAAGACTATTGTTCTAGTTATCAAACCAAGAATTGGATTGAGTTCAAATAAAACTATATAGAGGTATATATATTAATTGGTAAGACCGTGACAATGAATAATTGACGTTTTTTGACGAGTTTTTCAAGGTAAAAGAACCTTTGCTGGCTGGACCCATCCTTAGTAAAATACCTAGTAAAAAAAATATAACTCAGTACTCACTGCAGTGAGTGCTCATTCCATAAATGAGCAAATGTGCTTGAAAATTTGTAAAAAAACTATTTTTTATACCTCTAACCCTAATCTAACAAGGTTTTCATTAATGAGCATGTCACAGAATAGCATTCCATCATTTTCTGTGTTGCACTATTAGCAAATGGTAATCATAGGTAGATTCTGCGACATGGGTACATTTCAAGACAGTAATTGTGTGACATTTTATCACACACTATGCCAAAAATGTCACGCTACTGTCAAAAGTATGAGTGATATTTTGATCAAACAATTCCACGACACAGTTTTTGGGGAATGCAATGAAACCTGTCACACAATACCCCTACTCATGCGATTATATACATATATATATATATGCAAGTTTGATTGAAGACCAGAGCACGCTTTTTATTAACAATCTTCTTGTTTGTCTTTTCAATGAGTCAAACCAAATTTCTAGCTGGAGCCGGGAGATCGAAAAGCAGGTTTCCGAATGAATGATAATACCAAGAGCACAATAGATAACAAAAAAATAAAACTTCTGATCTACTACAAAAATAAGAAAATTAAAAACCTTGTAATTAACAATAATCCTTGTAAAAAATCCGGACTGCTTCAAGAAACTAATGTTTATAAATTCTCATGTAATAAAGAAGGTTGTAGACTTCTTCAATATATGAACTACATTGGTCTAACAAGCACGACCTTAAGCCGCCGACTCACATGCCATCTACAATCCGGAGAACCCAGCCACTGCATCGTCATTCGCAGACGACACCAGGATATTAATGACCATCACGGACAGGACGGACAGTGAGAGGTTACAAGAAGACCTCACATGGAAAATGATGACCGGAATGGTGCCAAACTTCGAGAGCGAGACCTTCAAGATTCAGACATATCACAACGAGAGAAGGGGAGACTGCAAGATCCCTCCCCTGCGTAACAGATCCGCAGTCAGATTTCAATCCCTGCGAGAAGGATCACTCTCCGTGGCAGAACCAAGGCTGTTCAACGCCCTACCAAGGGATCTAAGAGAGGGGGAGTTCACCCTGGAGACCTTCAAGAGACAGCTAGACGTGTTCCTGAGCACAATTCCAGATCGACCTCCCCTGCAACACTACCAGCAGCGAGAAGCAAGCAACAGCATCGTGCATCAGGTGGCCCAAATGAGGGCGGATGAACGATAATCAGAGGCGGCGATCCATCGTGGCCTGGGACTGCTGCTGGTCATTTGGTTCTCATAGTAGATGGTTGTGACGTTTGCGTCAGTCTCTGGTTCATGGTTGCGTCTGTTTTGGTTCGATCGAAGCTTTGAAATTTCCTTGTCAATTGTTTTATTTGCAAATCCATTATTGACTAAGGTTCTTTTGCAATTTTTCAGCTCCGTATTCAAATCATTTTCAGAGTAGCAGGTTTTGAGTGCTCGTTGGATGAGAGCACTTATTGCGCTTCTTTTGTAGCGCTCTTGGCATTTGCTGGCGGCATTAAGGACTCTCCTGGCATCTGTGGGTTTCTGGTATACTTTGGTTACGAATGAATTATTCTTAGCTTGGACGACTATATTGAAAAAAGGGCAAAGTACGATTTCGGCCAAGCTCGTATGTAAACTTCAAGACAGAATTCATTTCAAAGGCCACTCGCAGATTCCTCAGCTGTTCTTCATCTCGAACCACAACGAAGATATCGTTGACATACCTGCAGTACAATTCAGGCTTGATCTGTTCATCTGAAAGTACTCGATTTTCGATTTCGCACATATAGTACTCAGCAAATGTAGGACCAAGAGGGCAGCCCATGGCTACGCCGTTGGTTTGTAGATAAATTTTGTTGTCAGGAGCCCGGAAAGGTGATTCGGAAGTGCAGAGTCGAAGGAGGTCGATGAGAATTTTCTTAGGTATTGGTGGAGCCAGCAAAGTTGGATGAGCATATACGTACTAAGCAATGATTTCTAATGTTTATTCAGTAGGGACGTTGGTGAAGAGGCTGGTGACATTAAGGGACGCTAGAAGGCCTGATGGGCGTGCAGCACGGAGGATGTCCAAAAAGTCATCTCTAGATTTCAAGGAGAATTGCTTCGGAATATACGGTTTTATTATGGTATCCAGTTCTTTGGCTGTTTTGCAGATTGGAGACGTGACTTGAGAGATGATGGGTCTGAGCAAATTGCCTTGCTTGTGGTTTTCATTCACACATGTGTGAATGATGACCAGAAAATTAGTTGATTTATGTTATCAGGGAGTGGAACTTTTCTTCAGATGACCAACAGTAGATCGCAAGGCAAGTTTCAGGAAGTAGTTTTTCTTTATTAATGACGTTTTAAATGCAACAAACATTCATTTTCAAGTTAGAAGAGGCATTAAAATTGAAATTTTGGTGAAATAAGTACATGATATAAGTAAATAGGATACAACAGTAAAATTTTGGAAAAAAAATTACTCAGAAAACTCTTTCAGAGTTCAGACAAATCTGGTAGTCAGAAAATAAATGACGTTTTACATTACAAACAAACAACTTCATCTCAAAATTGTCAATGAATTCAACAGGCTTCGTGACAACAACATCAAACTCCGAACTAAACGCAATAACGGCCCTTGCAAAAATGTGGGAGTTATCTGAGATGCCGTTGTAGTCTATAAAAATTTTTCTGCAGAGAAGGTTGTAGACTTCATCTTTTGGACTACATCAGACACTTTGGCTCAACAACCAGGACACCAAGACGCTGTTTCATTAGCTACCTCCAACCCAGAGGGCAAGTGAACCACACGCGTCAATCTCACAACCAGGCCGTCACTCTGTTGCCGGGAGGCATCTACCCATATTTTTCACCCAACCATCTGCACTCTATATATGAATTATTGTTGAATTAATGTTTTTTATCAATTATTGTTGAATGTATGTTTTCTTTCCGTTACTTTCAGACTGTAAACTAATTCTATTTATGGCAACTTGGTCAATTATTATGATAGTGATTTTTTTTGAGTCTCTAAGTGGAAGTGCCACAAGTTGTTGGTGAGTTAGCTAGGTGTGATCTTTTCAATTGCAAAGATGTTTTGTAAGTGTCCTATAATTTTACTACCTCCTAATCTGATTAATTAGCTTTGTTTGTGCTTTGTGTTTTGTCTGATATTTATTGCATTTCTTATGTCAACTATCTGCTTGCAATTTATTCTTGAATGCTTTGCTTTTGTGTATTTACCTTAATAACTTCACAACTTTTACAAATCACTTGAGCAGTTTATCCTGGTTCTGATTTTAGCTTATCTATGCAAATGTTTTACAGATTTCACTCCAAATATTATAATGTTTGTCTGTTTTGTTTCACATTTTCTTTCTTGCTGCACACAACCAGCTTGCCATCAATTAAGAATCTATTTCAAGTATTTATTGCATCAGTTAACATTCAATTTCCCTTCAGGCTTAGTATATAGTATATTTCAGGCTTCGGACACTTTGGCTCAACAACCAGGACACCGAGACACTGTTTCATTAGCTACCTCCAACCCGGAGGGCAAGTGAACCACACGCGACAATCTCACAACAAGACTTGCTTGCTTTGTCCTGAAGGAACCCACCAGCATTGTCATCAAGCAGTGGCCTGACATCAGTTGACCAGATTTTCTGACTATTGATTTGTCTGAATTTGGATCGATTGATTTGTCTTTTGTCTGATTTGTCTGGACTCTGAAAGTTTTCTTGAGTAACTTTTGTCCAAAATTTTACTGTTGTACGGTATCTTATTTACCGTAAAATGGGGTAACTTAGACCACTTTTCGTTTTTTTAACAAAATCCCCCAAAACTCAAAAACTATTTGACATAGAAAAATTTTGTCAATGGGCATTAAAGGCCTAATACTGAGGCTACATAACACAATAGAAAGATTTAAAAAGTTTGCATATCTAATAGGTTAAAAAATTAAAAATGTGACCCACAAAAAAAAGC